CGAAGTAAAAATATAACCATGACGAAATGAATGGAATTATCCTAGATTTTAGCCGAGTTCAGCAATAAATCAACCGGTATATAAAACGGGAACTGATTTAAAGATCAAAATTTTGTTTGAAAGATGGATAACGATGTTCTTACCACGCTAAAGATCTTGATTATTGGAGAAAGCGGCGTTGGAAAATCCAGGTACAAAAATCGTTTCGGAGTCAATGGCTTCCGAATTCGAAATATGTGGCAGTAACGAACGTGTATCATAACAGAGGGTTATTGTGAATAGACTTAAAGTCACACGCTCTAAGTTTTAACTCAATTCATTTTTAAAAGTTCTTCCATGTAGATTTGTTCTCGAATCGTTTTGTTGTTGTCTTTCATGTGACAATTCGCTGTTGATCTCAACCGCACAAATCGGTGTCCTTGTTGTTATTGGGAATTCCTTTATTTAATGCTGTCTTCTTCTAATCACAGCCTGCTTCTAAGATTCACTGATGACACATTTGACCCTGACATTGGATCCACCATAGGTAAGAATTAAAAAGAAATGAGAGTTGTTGTGGTTTCAGTTCAGTCATACAGGGCTGTATTTTGGCTTTTGTTTATACCTTGCCTCACATAATTCTTGGAAAAAATAAGTGAAACACAAAGACAACCCGTCTGCCATTTCAAAATACCTTAACCCTTTAACTCCTAAGAGTGATTGACGTCTAATTTCTCCTTACAATATCACCTCTGAATAAATTTATAATAAAAAATAAATTGAATAAATTAAGGTTGATGTCTGCTCACAGGAGAGTTAATTAGCATGTGTTAATTGCATTTTTTTTTGGCCAAATGGAGATTTGACAAAACAGATGCCCACTTTTCTGTTGCCCTGTTAAAGGAGATATTTTTTGTTGATTTGAAAATTATTTTATTGCCAAGAGTCAATTAATATGCATGGGGTGTCCACTTTCAAGAGAACATAAGCAAAAGAACAATCTAATTTTCACTTTATATATATATATATATATCTTGATTTTAGTCTATCCTTGCAGTAGAGTGCTCAATGCATTCGCAAAGTGTGGTATATCTGAAAATTGAACTAATCAACAAGACATAACTTTTCTGTGACTCTGAGTTTCATGCTTATGCAATCATCACACACACACACACATAAAATGTTTACAGTGTGCCATTTGGCTAGCTCTTAGGTAACCTTTTGCACACAGTTGTTCAAAAGCTTGAAAACTTTACCAACTGCTTGACCTACTATCTGATCAATCGCATATCACCAGCAGTCAGCAATTTATGGGATAAACTGTGCTGTCCAGCTCGAAACAATGGCACCAGGTCATCAGTTTTTTGTTATAAAAAAACAAATACAATAATTTCCTTTATTCTCATAACCCAATGTATGATCCAGGCATGATATTGGTAGGAGAGATGGAATACTAGTTAATCTAAGGGGTTAAAGGGTCAGGCTATTTCTGTTATTGCACGGCATGTGATCTCTATATTTCAGGGTTCTTATTTTGATGAAAGAATGGTTGTTCATATCATTCTGGTTTGTAGTGACAGTAGTGGAACTTTTCTGTACAGGTGTTGACTTCAAGGTTAAAACTTTGACTGTGGATGGAAACAAAGCAAAACTAGCAATTTGGGTAAGAACTGCTGTTGATGAATGACAACACAATTATAATTCATGATTACGATCATTTAGTATTATCAACTGAGTTGAAAACGTAAATTGGCCATCATAAAGAGTTTTACCCTGTTATACTCTCCCACTGATGCAGCACCACAGTTTCTTTAGAATCTTACCCCCAGTAATTCACAATGCTTGAGTGACAGCTAAGTTAATTAATTTTGACAATTGGATTTAATAGTTTAATGGTAATAACATCACTTTTCTGTTTAAGGACACAGCAGGGCAGGAACGCTTCAGAACCCTGACTCCCAGCTACTACAGGGGAGCACAAGGAGTTATTTTAGGTACTAAAAATAAAATGATTTTCACCTCCTCATTACTTGCTGTCATCACAGTTGATTTTGTAGCATGAGAATAGTTGACAAAATTTCCTCATTGATACTGACACACAATAGGTTTCAACTAAATAGAAACTATTTAAGCATTTCTTAACTTTCAATGGTGATTTGATATTTTTGTTGGTGTCAGATCATCACTGAAAATTAATTAATGCTTAAATAGTTTGCATTAAGTTTCCCCTGATTTCCTATCCTAACAATGCGAATGGCACATATACCACATTTCCTCTAATAAGTTCCCAGGCACTTATTTAAAATTTTGGCTGTAAGGGTAGGCAATTATTTGAAGGATGACACGAATTTAAGGGGGGTGCCTATTAAGTTAGCAAAGTAATTGAGAAAAAATAGAAAGAACTGATGTTGCAGATAAAGGAACTCTGCAAGTACATGGAGATAAAAAATGGTGAAAGTGGCTTCAGGGAAAGAAACTACTCTCCTGTACTGATCTTGCTGTAGTTGAAGCTTCAAAAGTTGTAAATAAACTGTTAACAGAAACAGGTTTTTCTTTTATCCTTACTACTTAAAAATGTTGGGGAGGAGGGGGCTTTATTCAAGGGGGGTGCTTGTTTAACTTCATGGCCAAGGGGGTGGATGCTTATTCAAAAAAGGACATTTATTAGAGATGGGCGCTTATTTGTAAAGGAAATGCAGTAGTTGGTGAAAGTTCTCAGTGCTTCATTATGTTTGTTTTCAAGCACCAATTTTAATTGTGCAGTTGTCAATTAGACTGTTCTTGATAGCATTTCAAGAATTTGCATTTTTCCCTTTAGTTTATGATACAAGCAGCAGAGAGACATTTGAGAAATTGGAAGAATGGCTCAATGAAATTGAAATGTATTCAACCAAAAAAGACATCATAAAAATGCTTGTTGGCAACAAAATAGATAAGGTACAGTGAAACTTTTGTGCAGTTATGTTAGACCAGATGATTATTATCTAATTTTTATCATTAAAAACTGGAGTTTTCTCCCTCAATTTGAACCTAGAGATAAATTGAATATCTTACTAACCTTGGTGGTCAGTATTATAAGTTATGGAACCTTGTTTTTTTTTCCACTCAGACTTAGACTTGGCATCATTTCTCAGGCTGTTGTGTTGATTAATACTCCTATCTTGCAATATTCCTAAACTTTAAAAATCTCTTGTGGGTACATGTATTTGCTTGGTACAGGATTAACTGTAATTGCATACAGTAAGGTTTTGTGTGTGCATGATGTATCAGAAATTCAGATTTGTGTACTGTGCTTTTTAGGAGGGTCGTGAAGTTGATAGAAAACAGGGATTACAATTTGCAAGAAGACATTCCATGTTATTTATTGAAGCAAGGTTAGTGTCAGCTTGAGATATAAATATTTATTCCACTGCAATCAAGGATCAAATTTTTTTTTTCTTTTGAACAGCCACCTATGTAATGGCACTAGATGGTTTGGTGATACAATTATGAAGATAATTGTTCAGAGACTGGAAGAATGACAAAAAAAAAGAATTAAAAAAACTGGTTATTTTATGTTCAAATGTTTATACTTTTTATGAAAAAAAGCCATAATTTAAATTAGAGTATGTTATTAAAATTGTACAGAAAGGTAGTAAAGAGATTCCTTTAACCCTATAACTTCCAAGATCTGATTGTTAATTATTGTAAATTAGTTGGGAGAATTTGGTGTCATACCATAATTATAACTTCTATCTGATAAGTTTGAATATTCTCATTACCTGTTTGCTGGAGAATGTATGGATTTTGTAATGAGAAGTTATATGTTAATCATTTCTGGGAATTAAAGGGTTAATAAGTTTTTAGCTGGTGATTAAAATGGTATCCTGTCTTTCAACAAAATAACTGTACATTGTGTCATCTAAGTTTTATTTTTGATGAAAAAATCTTGCTTTTTTTTTTTTTTTTTTTTTTTTTGTAGTGCAAGAACAAGAGAGGGGGTTCAACTTGCTTTCGAGGAACTAGTAGAGAAGGTATTTAAATAACTAGGCAATTGAAATGTTGTACAATGTAATATTGTGGAAGGCATAGAGGCTGTAACAGACAGAATTTCTCCTTACAATATCTATACAATATCATGCAGACAAGTGAGGAGACTAAAGGAAAATATCAATTATGGGATTATTAATTGAATAGATAACAAATTCTCCAAACCAATGTAATGAGAATTGTTTGGCAGTAGTAAGGAGATTTGCTAATGAGATCTTGGGAGTTAAAGGGTTAACTCCCAAGATCTCACAAGTAATTCTCCATACTGTCAGTCATGCAGTTCTTGTGATGTTAGTTTGGAGGATTTGATATTGGATCCACTTGTAATCCCCTAATTGATATTTTTCTTCATTCTCATTGATCACTGGTCTGCTTGATGTTGTATTATTATTGTAAGGAGAAATTCTGTCTTGGTCATTCGTGGGAGTTAAAGTCTTTAATTGGTGACTGTTGGGTTCTGGCTTCACAAGCTGCAACAGTTTCCAGTTCTGTAGAGAATCCTTGAATTTTTCATCCCTTATATTTTGCCTGGCAGAAAGAAATTCTAACAACAACAACTGCTGTTCAAACAAGATTTAAAATAGGAAGAAAGATTTAAAGGATTCATGTTTTTTTTTCTTTTCTTTTCAAATAGAAACTAACAGGGAATAAGGGATGGGATTTCTCTGATGGACTAGTACCTCTTCCAGAGGAAGAAACAATTGATAAAAATTTGCTTCACACAATTGCTCTCCTGCTGTAGGGTTGAAAGGTGCACCAAGTTTTCCAATAGTGGTAACCAAAGTAACACCCCATTTGCTGTCTTTGTACCGGGTATTTTTGCAAATGCATTGCTCAAATCCCCTGCTTCCATCTATCTCCCAAGGGAAACTAGGATTTCAAATGATTAACCCAGCATATTTTCTTTTTTCATAACTCTTTTCTGTTTTGTTTCCATTTAAAAGATTATCCAGACTCCAGGTTTATGGGAAAAGGATGGTGCCACAGGAGGAGTAACCCTTACAACAGCAGGGTCACAGGTCATTTCAGGTTGCAGTGGAATGTGTTTACTTACATGACAACTGAAGTTTTATTTTAAGTGCGTCTTGTAAATAGAGAATTTAGAAGAAATATTTCATTGTATTCCATTTAGTTATTCTGGAAATGAAATAGAACCTTATGGTACTTTCCAATCCTAAATTTACCCACTGAACTTTAAATTATGTTAACCAATAAATATGATCATTTTTTACAGTTTTAAAGGAATCTAGACTTGCCCTTTAATTAACAAATGAAGAAGCCTTGACTGTGCTTTGTTTTGTTGTAAAGCACGCAGGACGCAGCTAGAGCGTGAAAGAAGTGTATGGAGAAACACAAGACCTAGTCAAGTGTTTCTCCCCACTTCTTGACAAGAGTGAATGGCTATGGAAAGTTGATGTGATTGTTGTAAATGAGATCCAACAGAGAAACTTCTATTTTCTTAGAATGAGATATTGAAAGTGTATGAAATTTAAGGGTGTACCCTGCCACCCCTCACTTCCCAGCAGAGGTCATCATGAAACATCATTTTCTTGCAATTTTTATTCACATGGGAGGTAGTGGGAACTAGAAATGTTTTCAATAGAAGGAATTGCTTTGATCCTACACGAAATTGTTAGTTTTAGTCAAGAATTCCTTTGTTATTGTCTAGGAGAAACAGCTTTTAAATCTTGACTTTGGAAGAGACTCAGGGTTTATAGTAAACAGTACAAACAAACAAGAGTTGTACACTGCGATCCATGCAGGCATGCTAAGAGTTCTCCATACTGAATATTTCCTTAGCTTTTTACAATTTCTTCAGGATAACCTGTATTGCAGGCAGACTATTTAAACCTGATGATCAAGTCCTGAAGATTTGATCGTTTAAGAGGAGAATTGGGTGTTTTCTTTCAAAATGCAGCTGATGCTGAACAAATACAACAAACTTATACTCTTCTGGTTAACTTCCAAGAGTCTTATTTGTCCATATTAGCAACTCTAACACTTCTGCCAATTTTTTGTCATATTAGCTACTTTGTAAAGCAAATAAATGGGATATATTTGGTCAAAAATGTGTGATATTTGTATCTGTCTCTCAAGCAATTAGTTTCCTCCAATGGTTTATGCAAGGTTGTGACTGCAATTGGTGTACATTTAGCTTAAGGGGGAGAGGGGTGGGGGTGCGTCAGATCAGCTCTTTAGAGGCCTATAGACTAATGTTACCCCCCCGCCGCCACCCTCCTCCCCTTAGGTGGGATTCAATCAAGGACAGGTTAAACTTCTCTTTGTTTGTTAATCTAGGTATTTTTTTCCTGTGGCATGTTCTTTGGATTGCAAATCGTCTGTTCAAATTTTTCTCGAAGCATGCCCAGTTGCTGCCTTGTGTAAGAAAGAAAACTCCCCGCCGTCTTTTCGATTGACGCAAAATTTTGCTTACAGTCTATTGCTGAGTCAATATTTTTTATTTAAAAAGACAGAAGTAATTAGTATTAGCGAAATGAATGACAGTTCCCTGGCGAACTACTCTGATGTTTATCTTCAAGCGGGTGGTTCGGCGCAATGGTTTAGCTGCAGATTACCGTAACAAAACAACTCAGGCTCATTCTTCGTTTAACAGCATCACTATCTACATCACTTTCTTGAGGATCCTCATACAGGTAGGGATTACACAAAGTATCCCCGTTTTTGCACGTGCGTTGTTATCAAGGATCTGCTTAGCTTTAAAGGTAGAATCATTTTCATGGAAATGTGGGAGTGAAGGTCGATGTATCTCTCATCACCTATGTTTATTCTTTGACTTGCCTTGAATCATAGGAAATTGCGACAGATTTCTCTTCCTCATACATCGCTATTTACCACAGACCTATTCAAATCCCTTGCCAATGAAATGGAGGGACTGGAGACCACTTCTCAAGAGTTAATAAGGAAAAACTTGCAGGAAAAATTAAAACTGATAAGTTCACACTTTTTGTGAAGGATAAAGTATGGCGTGCTGTCTCCACGGCTGTAAACTCTGTTAAATTCCCGCACCAAGCCGGTATCATTACGAGGGTTAAATTTCATGTTGACTTTCGTACTTGCTGGAGGGATTTTATTTAGGTACTTCGACAACAGCCAACATAACGATATCCCTAATCATCGGCCTGAACAATTTGAAAATATCATGCTGTAGCTGAAATTACAGTTCCTGATTCACGGGGATAAAACGTTTTCACATCTCTCATGGGTCACAGAATACCTTCAGTTCCCCTTTGCACACGGCTAAGTGCACCTAAAATGCGTCCAATTGAAAATGGTTAGCGCAATTCGTAGATCTGCCCATGCACTACTAAACTAACAAGATCACCTTTGTTTTCTTTCCTTGTGTAGGAAACGCAAGATGACTTCCAACTTCACGTGCCTTGATGCAGTGAGTCATGCATACCAAACTTGTGTTGACCAGGTTGTCACAACAGTCACTTTCAGCATTACCGGTTACATAGGTCCGCAAGGCGTACAATTTATCAATTGCAACTTTCTCCTCTCTTTGGCCGCGATTTTTCTTGTTGCAGCCTTACTGGTGTCCTGTACCAAGCTCACTTTTAGTGCGTCTTTCCGCCACGAGTTGTCCGAGACGCTGGAAATAATTGTTAACCTTTTTACTGCTCATCTCTCTTTTGTTGCGCTCTTAATCAATTCTGTTTGGTTGTTTGGTCAGATTCTGGCTGCAGTATGCGACATGCTGACTTTGAGTCCACGATAAGCTGATTCATAATTACTGAGAAAAATTAACGATCAACTGAATAAAGAAAGTTTCCAAGACTGTGGCAAGGGTAGAGTCACAAATAGCGCAAAATATGCGTGTCTGCTTGTAACATGTGACAAAAGCTATACTGTACGACATATTGACTTTTGGTCCACGTTTAGAAAGCTCCTTAGAAATAAGCTCCTCATTAATAACTGAGATTAATAAAACATTCAACTGAGTTGTGAGGATCTTTGGGGATAATGATTGATAGGGGCGTGGTCTCAGATAGCGTTAAATTGCATATCTATCTAATTTGTATCACCAGTCGATGACAGGTACCGGCTTTAATGTGAGACATATTCAGTTGTGTCTTCGTAATGGTCTTTGTTTCGCTAGTTTGAGTAAAACATAGATAACTGCTTTAAGAGGGTCTCAAGTAGTGGGTTGGGCGAGATTTCAAAGAGCGTTAGACTGCCATTTCTATTTGTAACAACATTAAGTGACTGCGCATGCCAATTAAAGAAAAGTGGCAAACTTGCAAGTAAACAGATACAGTTATAGAGAAACAAGAACCTCGACACATCAACAAAAAAAAATAGTTCAACATGATGACAGATTTAAATACAGAAAGAGGAAACGATGATGAATTACTTACTAAACTCACTTTCACGGTCCGTACAGTAAATTACAGAACCTAAATTTTTCGGCCACGCCTCTTGGTTTCACTTTAGTTTTGAAGATATTGACTATATTTCTATGATCAATAAGGTTATGCCCCGATCAGTTTGAAGCTTCTACATCCTCCCCCCTCCTCGGCAACCCATGGGCATTTGACTGTCGCCCGTGCCCAGGGGGTGGGGAATTTGAAGCAGAATTGTCAAGTCTCTCCAGCAGTAACGTGTTTATCTTTTAATATGGACGCCTGATTATAGGTAAAAAGTTCATTTCATGACCAGATGGCTCCAAAGGAAATGTCTACAAGAAAATCTTGGTCACTAGTCTTTCCTTGTGCAAAAAATTAACCATTAAATATGGCACTTTGGTAAGGCATTTGAACGCTTTCCGTGACCAATCTGCCAACCGTTTCGCTTTCCTCAAGAGAATACAGATATTCTCTTGCTTTCCCCCACGCCCACTCGGCCGACCGTTTAAATTCAATCCATGTTTTCTGAGCTAACTATTAAGCATTTTTCTCTGATACGCGGCCAACCATTCAATCTGATCTCTTACTCGTTCCATTTCATTCCAAGTCAGCTCCTTCAAACTCTTCGTCGACCATTCAGTAAAGTCCCAGTACCACTCGGCCGTTCATAACTTCCGTCGTAAACATATTCATCTACTCACATCACCGTTACAAAAACCCAATCCGTCAACCCTTTCAGCTCGTATCAAGTTTCACCCATGCAATCCACTAATCTTTTTTCTAATCATTCCTTTTAGCATTTTACCGGCCATATTCTTCCAAATTTTATTAACCATTGTTCCAACGCCGTTAGAACACACATTCCAAGCTTTATCCACTGTTATGAAAATGGCTATGGCAAGATGAACAACTCCATATTTACTTAAAATTTTACTTTTCCCCGACTCCGTTCAAAGATGTCAATTTTCCCTGACTCAAAGTGAAATTCCCAGACTTTTCCCATGCCTTGAAGTAATCCATTTTCCCTTGAATTTTCCTGACCTGTGACAGCCATGCCTAACGTTATCGTTCCGGAAACGAGACACTCTCTCTCCTAGAAATAGCCTCCAGTTGACCATAAAAACAGTGAAGGACAAGCAGACGCCATCATTCAATCTCCTAGCTAAGCTGTCTACAAACTTAAATTAATTGACTTCGAAATGTTCAGAACATACTTTGGCACTAGACGTTGCTCTTAAATATTTTTTTGGATCTTTTTTATTCTAAAATTCCATATCTGTTTTATAAGAAACTAAAAAAAACATATTAAAAATCGAGACAAGACGAAATTATTTCTCTGACCAGTTACTCTTGCAGATTAAAGGAAATTCGTGCAACTAGTAATTAAATAAATATAGCATGGATACTTAACTTCTGAAGCTAGGACCCTTAGCATATATATGAAAATGAAAATCCGAATTTGTGGAAATATTATGGCAGTTACAGGCGCAGCAATAGTCGACCATTCTTTACTCTTCGTAGTTAACTTTGTGTTGTTTACCCATTTCGGACCACGTGACCAATCTAGACGTATGAAGCTAAAAAGGTCTATTTAGTCCCCTTCCTCTCCTCCCGTTTTGTTTGTCTGTTTTCTGTTTTCGGCTGTATCCATTTCACTAAGTCCTGGGTGCCTTTTACGAATATTTACTTTTAAAATAGCGTGACGAAATAATGTTTGCATAATGTTTCGCCGACATATCGACTTGTCACAAATTTTTTTTTGTTACACAAAGTATCACAAGGCTGGTATCAGAATGTTATTTAGAAATGAAACATTTCTTGCAGACCGACTGAAAAACTTCAAAATGACGTCGATAATGTATTGTTTCCTTACGCCGACTTTCTTCGGCATACGTTTTGATCTTTCCACCCTGTCAAGATCGAATCATTTGATTGGTCGACCTAGCAATTATAGACGGCCTTCAAATTCACACCTAGTCCGATCACTTACGCGAATATTTGTAACTTTTCGCAATGATCACAATTACTAAGTCGCGATGATGAGAAAGCAGCTCGTTCGAAGGAGAGGAAAATAGTTCGCTATAGATTTTCTCGATCATGGTTGTGGAATGGATATCTCGCTTAGCAAAGAGGTAACACAGACATTCCTAAGCACTCCGCTTCGAATATTATCATTGCAGTTTGACAATTTACAACAATTAGAATATTCATGCGATGTACATTTGCTGTAATTATGTTATGATTATGACCCAGAGGAGAGTATTCGAGAAAAGATATCAACATCTTAACTTGCGTTAAAAACTTCCTTGATGAATCTTAAATATAGTTTGAAAAGACATACACCGATTGCCGAGTTTAAAGAAATTCAAGTCGATCAACCGTGTTACGAAATGTAAATTTAATTTTAGATTTTCCGACAGGGAACATTGCTTATGGAAGAGCTCTTTACGAAATGGATAAACAAAGAAATTCATAAGAATTATAACCAATTTTACATTATTAATCCAAAGTTACTTTTACTTGATTCTTTTAACTGCGGTAAAAAGTCGAACGAAGAGACAATGAGGTATTTTTTCTGAAACTGCACCAGAACAATCCCCGCTCGCCAGAGCGAATCGCGGCATCGCTCTTTTGTCTGTATGGTCAAAATTTTGACTAAACTCTCGTGGTTTGGAATAATTTAGACATAAATCATACCGTAGAGAAGGAAATCGTTTCCTGGGCGAATAAACATGATCATGGCATATTTGAGCAGTTTGTGCTTGCATTCTAACTCTCTTAGTTCAGTACATAAGGGTCGAGTTGTCTTGTTTGTTTGTTCGGAAGAAAGGAAACAATCGCGCGCGAAAGCGTAAATCAAATGATTACCACAATTGTGTTAAGCGTCAAAACAGGACGTTTGTAGCATGATGTATTGTGATATCGGTTCGGCATGAGTAGCGCTAAGTGCTTTTAGTTTATTTATTTAATAAATTTTCATTGAAATGCGAAGTTTGCCCAGAAAGCCAAAAGGAGCCATTAGTTAATGGTTGACCCTAAGAGTTCTAACATATCGCCCGTTGCAACTATACTGACTGAGTAAATTTGGTTCAAGTTTTTTCGATGTTTCCCGGCAAAAATTCGCGCTATGTTGTACCCTAATCCAAAGTTAAAAAAAAAAAAAAAACAAAGTCAGAGTTACCTGTGCATGAAATATATCTTATTAAACGTTTTGGTGAGTAGTATCGCTGATTATTTTTATGAGTTGTACCGTATTTTGACGAGCCCGTAGGGCGAGCCAAACTACAAACAACGAGTTGAAATATTCAGCGATACTACACACCAAAACGTCTCATAAGTTATTTATTACACAATTTTTTTTTCTGCTAAATCTTTCTGTTCATTTCTCATGAGGCGGGAAAAGCAAAGCGGGTGGAGAAACGTAGGGCGCGCAGCCGACTTGTTAAACAGGTTTTTTACAGTACAAAATAACCAATTGTCTAAATAACCGTACAGTATTGCAGGGTATTTGTGCTCTTTTGGCGCGTTATTTGTACTCTTCTTTGAGCAGTTGGATAATAATAACTCTTCACGAACGAAAAGCTGTCATAGATCAATGAAGTTTCCTTTAATTCGTATTGAAAATTGAGCAAAATTACCGAGAGTTTGTGACTTCAAGTGTAGAGTAAACGGATTTGCCGGTTACCGTGAACGACCAAAATACGCACTATTTAAACAGCCTTCACTTCAATCCTGGACAAAAAACGCGAGTATGAAAGTTAAGGTCGAAAGAAATTTATTGATTTTTTTTGCAATAGAAACTAACCATTACAAAGCTTCAGTGGAAAAAAGTGACATTGACCATTTTGTCTTTCTTGTTTCGTAGACCTGCGGACAGAACAGGGGAGGATCTGGATATTATTTTCGCCAGATTTAAGGTACTATGTTTTCAGCTTTGTTTCCATTGGTGATCACGTGAAGCATGTATGGTTATTTGGCTAAAAACCGCACAGCGATTTGTGGGAAAATTGGCGGGAAAAACATTCCTCTCAATTGGCCAGAATCATCCTCGTGCTCAGGACAGTTTGCGGGAAATTGCGATAGTCGTCTGTTTCAACAACTAAATTATTAGAGCATTCATTTGACAATTTTCAGTCTTTCGTTCCCGTTTGCTGCTTAATTTTACGTCCTTCTGTTCTTATTTCACAGAATCTGAAGGCATTTGAGCGTTTCAACCACGCAGTTCTTCACCAAATTTGTTACTATGGTTACTATCAAGACTTGGAGGAAGGAATCACTCGTAAGTTGTAAAGGATGCAGATCTCCCCCACCCACCCCACCCCTTGAAACTTGAAAAATGCTAAGCAAAAGACATCTTAACGTTAGACTGATAGTAAATCTTTCAAATTGATTCGTATTTTGACCCTTTGACTCTTGAGTGACTAGCATCTAACTTCTCTCTACAATATCACCCCAGAATAATACACTAAGGTAACGAGAATAAAGGAAATGATCACCAACTGAAGAACCTCTTGATTGTTAAACAAATTCTCCCTGTCAGCAGCCCAAGAAAAGCACAGAGAACAGTATCGAGAATATGCATGCTGATGTTAAGGTATATGGGGTGAATGGATATTAACAGCATAGTGGAGTAAGCCTTTCTTTTACTGTGGTGATAAAACACTGCTCCGTTTGTTTATCCTTTTTCTTTCTCAGTGTATCGTCAAGGTGACATTGGCTGTTACTGGTACGTTGTCCTCGCTGGAGCGCTTGAAGTTCGTGCATCGAAAACCGGAAAATATGAGGTGCGTCGTTTAACGCGAGTAAAGATGATCAAACTCCATGCAACATTTTCTCTGATGGAGGTTTATTTGTACGCACGTACGGACCTATAACTTAGGACCACAACTACGCGTCGTGATGTTTTAAATTTGTCTGCAACATTTGCATAAAAAGAATGCTAACATTTTACTTGAACTCAATCTCTTCGCTGTTACAGGTTTTGCATTGAGTGAGGTTAGTGTAGCGTCCTCCTAGAGAGAACAGTCGAAGAAAATTAATGTCTATAGAGATTGTCTATTCCTTTAATTTCGCAGGATGCTGAAGCCATTTGCACTCTCGGCCCCGGAAATTTTTTCGGCGAATCAGTACTGGATGACTCACCCAGGTGAGTTAAGGAGTGGTTATGCGCCTGTTTGTTCTAGTCCACCTCAGTTCTTGTAACTAACAACCATAAAATAATAAAAAAATGCTCTTTGATGTTCTTTCTTCTATTTTAGGCCTGTTTTCTTGATGAATTTTTTTTTTCAGACGCTCCACAGTCATCACAAGCGAATTTTGTGAGCTTTTGCTGATAGAGAAGAAATTCTTCCGTACTATTTGGGAGGTGGGTTAAATTTAACCCTTGTCACAATAATATATTTTTCCACGCCACAGTGTCCAAAAAAGATCTAAAAGAAATAATTTTTTATTTTAAAATCTTTTCCAGCGAAACAAGCAATTTCTAGAGGACATTATACCCAGTCCCTCATCTACCCCTGTCGGAGAACAAAGTGAGTTTTAAAATCTTACTCTCCTTGTGGTACTGAGACTTCTATGTTAAGCGGGCTTTATTTACTCAAGCACTCAGTAAGAGGCCTGGTTTCAAATTTGGGTCATTCGTCTTGAGCTACAAATCGCAGAAAATGCGCATGAGTAGAACAAGCTAAATAAGTATATGACTGAATATCATCTTAAAGGGTGACCCATTGAAGATCTCGTTCTTTCCATGGCCTTCATTTAGGCCACAGAAAAAGGAAAATGTTTTTTTTCCCATTTAAGTCAGCGAAATTTTCTGAAAGCAAGTATCGTAAACAGCAACTGAAGAACACTCAATTTTCAGTGTGTACCTAAGACAAGTTGCATTGGTCTTTCTCAATCTAGGAAAAGCTTTCATTACATCTTCAGTCACATACTTTTTCTTTTGTCAGACAATAATGAGCAACTTCCTGAAAATAATACGGTGGAGGGTAAACCATCCAAGACAGTGGTGAGTAAGCTTGATTCGTCTTTGTCCCATGAATTCAGCTACGGTATAAGAGCGGTACAACGGCGAAGCGTGATTTTTAAGAATGCGACACTTAGCCAGCCAATCTCATCATCTGACAGGAGCAGAAGAGGGGGGATTCACAATTAAAAATTGCCGCAGGCCTTACATAGTTACATAAAGGCGGTTTGAACCGCTGCTCTTTCTTACGTGTCAACGGGCATGCAGTCATGCAGCGAAAAGGATCGGATTCGCGTGCTTTTGCACGGTTATCGCCCCACCTCAACGGAAAAGACTGCAAAATGGTTCCAACGATAACACCACTTCTGTATATCACCGCGTTGAATAACCACACGTTTTTCTCCCCACAGTACTCACCTGAGGCACTCAGAAATGGTGGACTGGTCCTGCGTTTTGCAATGCTTCGTCACCAGTCTCCAAAACTGATCCGTGATCGAGAACTTGATAAACGCAAGGTGTGCAGATGCTTCGTTGGATCGGAAGCGGTCGATTGGCTGACAAAAATCAGCCCAATGGTTCATGGTCGTTTTCATGCCATCGCTATGCTTCAGGCGCTTTTGGAAGAGGGAGTCATTACTCAAGGTGGGGGACTGATACCGAAAAATACTATCTTGGTCACGTTTGATGGAAACCTTGTCTTTTCACGAGAAATAAACCTAAAAATGCGCATTCCTCAATTATCTTTCTCTCCTATCAATTTTTAAGGCTTTGGAAGTATATTTATTACTTAAAAGCTTTTTGGTGGTCCGTTGGCAACGTTTTATCTGAGTTAAGAAATCTGAAGAGCCCTTTGGAAGCATACATTTACTTACAACGCGATAAAGCTTTTGCATAGCCTTTTACGGGCCATTTTGGGAACCAATATTTTTCCAGGTTTTTCGAAAAACGCACTTCAGGCACTCACTCTAAATAAGAGAAAAATAATTATAATTTTCCAGTTCGTTATTCCGAGGGAATTGAAACTCTTCCGAACTTTTACTTCGCTCGTCTGAATGTCTCTTATCGTTCCTGCAGTGGGCCATGGGTATGAATTCAAAGACCAAGACATTCTTTATCGCTTTGTTATGGACGAGAATGATAATGAGAGGCCTGGAAAAGAGGCATACAGTGAGGAAGACCTGGATGATGTACTGCTCATGCTCAGTAGGTCCGGATTGGATGCACAACTGAGAATGGCTCTGAGAAAACCGTGAGTTGTCACCAAAACATCCTGTCATGTTGTCTTTTGATATGCGTGAAATTATTTCTGTTTCTCGTTATAAGGTAGATCACATGGTGAAATTCTAGAGGGAAAAATAAAAGAGAGTTTTTTTTCCAAGCTGAGTAAGCCACCGTAAAATTGTCTGGATGCGACCTTGGAAAGCTGGGTCTAACGCACGAAGTCGAGGTTTACTGGTTAACCTACTTGGAGATATGTTATGAAACAACAAACTCGTCTTTAAAGAAAGATGTTTTTCGTTTTGTCACGAGCGTGGGACAAAGAAAAAATTCTGAGTCCCCATGAGGAATCGAACCTCAGACCATCGGATGTCAAATCCTTTTGTTTTTTGTTTTTTGTTTTTTGTTTTTTTTTTGATGTTCCATGACCTAAATGAAAAACATTTCTTGCAGGCACTAATTAAAAGAAAAGAAAAACCAAACAGAACGCGTCAAACAACGAAATTAAGCTTTGCGAGCTTATTTTTACTTATTTTTAAACGAAGTTTACATTAAGCCTCGACTTAGTGAAAGTTGTTGCATTCGACCTAGTTTCCTTGGCTCACGATCAAGGGCCATAGTTTGATATGCCTGAATAAACGCCAGAGTTAATACTTATTCTTGTTTTCTCATTCCAGTGCTATGGAAAGAACTCCAGACGACTTATCTTTAATTTACGATGAACTCATGCATGTAAAGGCTCTTCAATATCTTTCAACCATGGTGAGAATTCTATTTTCATCGTGGAGCACTGCATGTGGTAAAAATTCAAGGCAGTTTCGCTTTACTTTGCAACTCAGTTGAACAGTTGTGTCGTCAGTCTGAGTTACATGTCATTTTTAACTCATATTCTTTTCATCGTCAGGTTAAAAAAGAACTGTCATACGCTTTTGTGTTGGAATCCAGTTTCAAAAAGGGAACTGTGCGTAAGTGTTTAATAGTAGGGAACTCTGACAGATTTCCAGCCTCCGATTGTGTAATTGTTTAGTGACTAACATTTGAAACTGGAATCTCAGAATTCGCGCGAGTTTCTTGACCAATCACATAGCCAAGGGGATGAAAACCAATACAATCCTGTATCAAAGAGGGTAAGTTTCTAAAGAAACTGTGGTGCTGCGTCGGTGGGGGAGTATATCAGGGTAATTTCGTTTTATTAACTGAGTTGATAATGTAAGTTGGCTACAATTCAAGCGAACACTAGAGCAGACCCCATGGGAGACGGCGTTTGTGTTCGAAGATATTGATGATGTTGTTTATGCTTGGGAGAAGATGTTTAATTCCGCCCTCGATGATCATTGTCCTTGGCGTGAAAAGAGAATCAAACACACCACTCGGCCGCCCTGGATGAACAATGCGGTTATTAAAAATTGCACTCTCGTGATCACTTTTTGAAGGTGGCTAGGCAATCGGACAATAGTTCTGACTGGGCAAATTACCGAGAGGCGAGAAACAAGGCTGTTTTTGCCTTGCGCTCAGCAAAGCGTGAGTTTTACAAGAATGCATTCGAAGAAAATCGAAACAACCCTAAAGCAACGTGGAATACGATCAAAGCATTGACAGGATCCGGAAAGATGAATAAAGGGATTAGTCAGCTACAGTTGGATGGTAAGGCTGTTGAAAATGCTACAGAAATTGCGGAACAGTTTAATTCATATTTTTCCTCAATCGCGGCTAATCTGAGATCCGGACTCGGTAATACACCATCAGACTTGTCCAAGTTGGTAAACTTTGTTGAGTCTCGCAAAGATCCGGATGTGGTTTTCTCTGTTCCAGACATAACCGATGCTCAGGTGCTTCAGATTATAAAGGGAATCAGTCCTCATAAGGCTGCAGGTATCGACAAAATCAGCGCCAGGTTTTTGCGTATTGCCGCTCCCATTTTAGCTCCAAGCATAGCAAGGCTTATCAACATGTCGTTTTTTTCCTACTCGTTGGAAAACCGCTAATGTGACACCACTGTTCAAACAAGGTGCAGCCAGTGATCCTTCTAATTATCGCCCAATTTCTGTGCTACCGGTAGTGTCAAAAGTAATCGAACGTCACATGCACAACTCTCTATATGCTTTCCTTATGGATAATAACTTGTTATATTCCAGACAGTCTGGGTTTCGTAGGATGCACAGTACCGAGACTGCCCTAATCAAGTTAAATTCATCACTAAACAAGTCTGTCTCTGAAATTCAATTATGGGCTTCAGCGAATAAGCTCCCATTAAATGAAGACAAGACTAAAGTACTTACGATCACTGGCAAAAGACGCGTGGCCAACATAAATAGAAGTGACATAGATGTAATCGTAAATGGAAAACAGCTCAGTAATGTGGATTGTGCTACCTTATTAGGCGTAGAAATTGACAGCAAATTGTCATTTAATGAACATGTTGAGAAAGTATGTAAAAAGTTGGCCTCTAGAATCGCAATATTGCGTAAGATCCGAGCGTGTCTACCTCTTAAACAGCGACTTCAGTTTTATAATAGCATTATTCGCCCTGTTATGTCTTACGCTAACGTTGTTTGGGCAAATTACGATAAAGAGTCGGTTCATAGGGTCTTAAGATTGCAAAAACGTGCGGCACGCGTTATTTGTTATGCCGATCGCGTGACACCATCAGTTGCTTTGTTTAACAAGCTAGGTTGGATCCCGTTTTATGAGCAACATAAGATTGATAAATGCACAATAATGTATAAGCGAATTAATGGGACTTTGCCGAATTATCTAAATGAACACTTAATTTTAAATAATAAGCGGCACTCCCGCAACACTAGATATTCAAGCACTAATGCTGTTTGTCCTAAATATAAAAGAGAAACAGAAGGAGGACGCTCTTTCGCTGTTTCGGCAACAAGACTGTGGAACAGTACACCAATTGAAATTAGGAAACTAAATTCTGTAGCATGTTTTAAAAAGAACATGTTTGCCAAGATTTTTAGGGAACAACAATTTTTGCATCATTTCATAATTTAATAATTTATTTTTATCTTATAATCGAATCCTGTCATATTTTATATTTTAACTGTATTTATATATATTTTAGCTTACAGTATTTTAGATTTTAAATAGTTGTGAGGGCCACAAGTTTATTAGCCTTTGGCTATTAAGTGCCACCCTCTTTAAATAAAGGCTTTACTTACTTACTTACTTACTTACTTACCGTAAAGAGTTTGAAAGCGTTAAACATCGTCAGAGTTATATTACCTTCACAACCCAGTTGATAAGTCATTGCATCGATGAATTTGAAATGAAATTTTTCAGTCATGAAAATTACAATCGAATCGCTTACCAAATATTGTCATCTTTTTTTCTTTTTATTTCTTATCTATATGAAGTTTTCAGCGAAGGAGAAGAAGGGATTTCCTGGTACATCATACTGAAGGGCTCAGTGAATGTCGTGGTTCATGGAAAGGTAAGGCACATTAGACTACCTTGCTCTCAGCTCCGATTCTGAAGACCTTAAATTTGCTGTCCAATGTAACGAAGGTATATGCTATACTTTCATTCTTACCAAGGGTGTGGTGTGCCAACTGAATGAAGGAGACGATTTTGGAAAACTAGCACTTGTAAATAACGCTCTGAGGTAAGATCTGTCTCCTGTGACAGATGATGTGGTAATGTGGTAAGAAACAAAAGTTGCACACGAGGCGCAGCTGTGTGTACTATTTTTGTTTTTGATCACATTTTGGCGTCTTTGGTGATCTACTGCTAAACTGATGCACGGCAACATGAAATGTATTTGTTTCATATGATAAAAAGGCAAAATTTTGTTAATGGTGACGTCATCTGTGCGTCTTACCTCCAATAAATCATAAGTAACATTGGCAGATCCAGACCTTGAGCTAAGGGGGGGGGCAGTTTTTTACGGCTCTCCCTGCCGGCTTTTCTCCCTTCTGGGATTCTTTTCTTTTTACCCAAAATAAGGGGGGGGGGGTGGGCCCTCCGTGCCCCTCCTCAAGATCCGCCGATAGGTAAGAACCGATCGGAAGGCGTGTTTGATTCAGCTTATTCTATGAATAATCTTAGACGCCAAAATCTTGAACAGGTTTACAATGAACAAAACCTGGCGACCCTTTGAAATCTGTTTGCATTCCTCGATTAAGATGAAATGTACGTTGTAAATATGATCAGTAAGGTCACAGTCTTCAAAACATCTCTTACAGAACCGCCACAATAGAAACTTCTCAAGACATTTGTCATTTCTTGAAGATAGGAAAGAAAGACTTTAACAGAATCCTTAAGGTATGAAACTTTTTCTCACGATCACTGAACGAGATTTAGTGACCCACCGAATACCTACTAGCTAATCGACCGACCGAACGATATAGCGATCAACCGACCGAATGCTTGACAAGCCGAACCTTAGCCGAACTAAAACCGAATAGCCGAACTGCCGAATAACCGACCATCAATTGGTTCGTTCATTCATTCACTCACTCACCCGACCTTTTTTTTTTTTTTTTTTTTCCAAGGACGTGGAAACAAATACTGTTCGTCTAAAAGAACACAGAAAAGATGTCCTTGTCTTGGAAAAGATTAACATACCTAACATGTTTGGAGAAGATAACAGCCAAACTCACATTCCGCAGATTCAAAAGTAAGGAGAAATCTATGAGGGGCTAATTTTACGACAAAGATATCGGAGTGCTTTTAAAGACTCATAACAACCCTATAATCTATAGTAATAGAAAAAGTGTTGTGCCAATTTACCAGTAAAATATATCTGCTTGTCAACGCCGGAAAGCGCCCACACTCGGTTGGCTACCCGTGTGCTTTTCAGCCCCATTAATATTGAAACTGACGGGCTTTTTTGATAACGGAGCTCGGAAATGGCTTTTCTGTGACCCTAGGTAGATGAGCAACTCGGCGAGAGGTCGGGTAAGAGTCCAGCGTTGATTAGTAGTGCCAGACCCCTGCAAACCTCTCCTTCACGAGACTACCTTCATTCGCGCGATCAGACTACGCAATCAAGAGGGCCTGAATGGGATGTGACTTTTACGGCTAAAGGTTAAAATTTTGGCCATTTTACGATGAATGGTTGACATCATTTCATTGTTATCACCAGTAAATATTTTTATGGTTAACTTTTTCACGGTTTGCGATTAAAATTTATAATTTTTTTCGCTTAACGGTTAATTTTTTTGGCCATTTTACGGTTGACGGTTAACCCCATTGAGACTCTCGGTCTAGATAAAGTATTCTACAATTAAATTTGTAGATATTCCGTGATGGCTGGTACTCCAGAGAAAATGGTGGAATATCTCTTAGAAACAAGAATGGACAACTCCAATACAAATAACTTCGACGGTAAATGAAAAAATGTGTTCACTGAATTCCATTTTTATTTCACACGTTAGATTGCTATTACTAAAGGCATTCTTTTGTTGTTGTTGTTGTTGTTGTTATTTTTCAGATCATTTTTTGAACGACTTTCTGATCGCTTTCCCAATATTTATGACCACGGAGGCATTATGCCGCGAGTTGCTGTCCAAATATCCTTTTTATTGGAAAGACTGTTGTCACGGTATTTGAAACGTCGACTGAGGTACAGACATATAACTCAGTAACTCGGCAGCGACAAGGTTATGCCACCACAGTGGTTTCAATCGTTGAATCTAATTCAGTTGCGCCAAATTCCAATTGCTCTCAGATACAACCATACTTCAAGTTTTGAATACATTAAGACAATTCCTGAATGCAGTCCGCCACACAAGAGAAACCCGTTTAAAACTAAGTCCTGGGGCCACCAAACTGAATGGTTTCAAACTTCTTAGCATTTCTGTCGAATTAATTTTGGTCCGGAACATTAGCGCGACGTTTGAACTCAACAAAGAAAAGTGATAATATTAGGGACATTATAAACAGCTAGGACGACAACGCCGAGGAAGGCGTCGATTGAAAAATGAAGATGTATTATTATTTAAAATTTCGCGAATGGGTGGATGTGTTTACCGTCTCTTTCCGTTTCCATGCAAATTTTGGTGATTTCACGTTGTTGTTTAGCAGTGGATGGCTATGAAATGTACAAAGGTTTAAAACGCACGTGCTGAGCTAGTGTTCTTCCTATCAGAGCATTTGTTTTGCCACGTCCTCGTTGCCGTTGCTGTCGTGGTTCGCTTAAATCTCATTTCAAAATGTTACAGTCCTTAATCATTCTTACCTACAACAGAACCAACTGTTTTATAATCGGACAAGACGAGACCAGAAATATCACTGCTGAGCACAAAATGGCCATCAAAAGAAGGTAGGCTTTTCATGTGATTTGTGAGAGTAAAAAATTGGTTAATTTATATGTCTCTGTGTGTTTCCTCGTGGAAATAATAAGCGTTGGACTGACGGTTAATGCTGTACTCCGGACTGCAGCTATGCCCTGGAATCATGGCCGGCATATCTGGTACACGATGCGTGAAAATCAACTCCCAAAGCTTGGAGGTGCTCAGAAATTAAAAAAAAAGGGGAGGGGGGTGAGATACTTTCAATGAACTCCAACCCTCCCCTGAGGAGTGGAAATATAACTTCACTTCACGTTCTGTGAATATCTGGCTTCCATTTGAGAAAACAAGGTTTTAAACTTTTCAAAGACAATTTCAAAGAGCCAATTACAAGCCACGGTTGAGTAGTTCCTGTTTTGCAGGGTTGTTCAGATGACGCTCCGCTGGTGTTACTTGGCTGGGAATCTATTCTTGGAAAACCAATGTATTTTCAGGTTCATTGAGGTAAGAATACCTTAAATACTAATGTGTCTTACATAACGTGTTGAGAGGATTTATTTCAATAAATCTCAACAGGCGCACATATTCAGTGAAGTAGATAGCACTAACACTTCACTTTAGTCAGTTCAGTGTATCACTTGGACTAGACTTCGAACAAAGGAGAATCTGTGATAAGCATTGCTCCGATTGGGAAAGCCGAGGGAAAACTCGCCTGTAGAGATTGCTTTTTTTTTTCCACAAGTTTCACACTCGTTCACTCTTGCGCGAGACTCGCGCTTCGCGTTCGCCCTTTGTCCGGGCTGAGGGAAGGAGAAAAGGAATTAATATGAATAATTATAACCAACACTTCAGCTTTAGGATTCCTTTTTATAATTATAACAATTTCCTTTCATACAGGAATTGATGGATTATCTAGAGACAGATGAGCTTTTCAATGAGTTTAACCTCCTCAAGACAGCCATGCGGACACTTAAAGAAAGGTACATGAGTTCCCGCACAGTACAGGCCGATTAAGATAGATTAAAGATAAATATTCGAGATACAATAACCGTGACACGACAGCAAACTATCTTGACATGAATTTTTCCTTGCATTTCTCACAGATATCCCACCGATGACCTTATCGATGGTAAAATTTTCGCTCCAGTGGTAAGCAAAATGAGGGCAAGATCCTCTTGAAGGTCACTTTAATGTAGTCAATAGATGATGTTGTTAATTTGATTGGAGTGAACTTTTTCTCTTGTATCATAGCGCCATAGTCCACATCGTCGAATGGGCCTCGCTAATATCACAAAAGCCATCAGAGACTACAAGTCAATACGAGGAATCGATCAAAGTGAGTACATATCAGACAATGCTTTTCAATTAAATAAGTTAAGAGCTTGTTACAGCAGAAAGTCGGACCAACACCTGAGGGAAGGGTATGGGATGAGACGGATTGGGGGGGGGGGGGGGGGGGGGGGAGCTCCACTTCACAAGGAAGTAAATCAAAGTTACTGTCGAACTAACAAGAGCATAAAGACCTCATTACGGTACCCACTAAAGTTTCTTCCTTCCTGTCTCTTTCATCTGTTTCTATTCCTTCGCTTATGCCCGCGGATGAATACTGTAGTCACTAGTTTAACGCTTTTCGCATTACAGATATTTTTCGAGTCTTCTGTGCCGATCATACATACACTACAGTGGCTTTGCCTTATAACGCCACTGCGCAGACCATTATTAACGCCGCAGAGGAGCGTGTTCTGCTAGGCGATGACTGCATCCTGTGCGAGGTCAAATCTTCAGGAGGTAGGTGCTTCCTTTTACTGGTGTTGCCGATGAAGTGCAAAAGATATGGGCCTTCTTTTTGTATAACTGTGTCAGAAAACGTTTTAACCGTCTTATTAGCAAAAAATGAAAAGTTGAGAAAAGAAGCAAAAAACGTTAACTCAAAAATTTAAGGTTTTCTCGGACACTGATGAACACTTTAAAAATCGACCATCGATTATTTTCGCTCATGTTTGATCTAGGTGTGTTACGTGGCTGAAAACGCCCCCGTTAAACTGTGATATATTAGGCGATATTCCCTAAGGGGTATTCCGCAATAATCGCTTTATACCAAATGCAATGAAAGTTTTCGTTTCGTATGTTTTAAAGTAGTTACTTCCTTTACCTTTTGTAGAACGCGTACCTTTCAAACCAAACGAAATATGTGTCACAACCGGACTAAGTGTTAACGGAAGATTGTTTATCGCGCCACGGGAACACTTGGACTCACTGGTAAGGATAAAGCTGAATTCTTACGAGCCTTGTCGCTTATTGTAATTACTACTCAAGATTACTCTGGTTTTCTGAATAATAAGCACCCAGACCAAGATTATTGCTATGGCTTCTACCAAACGGAATGCTAGTATATAGCAAGGTACCCCCACAGATTCATCAATTTTTTTCTCTGGCAAAAAAGGTTTGCTAGTACCCATTAATGCGCTTGGTTGTAGAGAGGCACTGGGAGAATAACACGTTTTGCCCAACAACACAACACAATAACCTAGTCGGGAATCGAACCCGGACATGGCGACCCAGTGTCAAAGGTGCCAAACCCTAGGTCTTCGCGTTTCTGACTGGTCAGCGCTACAGACCCCGAAAAGGGAGGTGAAAACAGTTTCTATATGAAGCTTCTATTAAGACCTACTTCAACTAGTGCTGAGATATCCATACGAATTATGCTCTTTTTATCTACCCCAGACTCCTACTCCTGAGCAGGAAGGACCGTCAACCAGTAACCTCACATTTCTTGAGTCAGTTGGATCCAAAGAGCTTGCGTATTACATCACACAGTATGACTATGAGCTGTTCAACGCCGTTAACATTGTGAGTATCTCAAGTTTTGTCTGACAAGTTGAGATTGCGGAGTTGCTTGCGTTTAAACATTACGGATTAACACCCATCTGTAAATTGTTACAATTTCATTAAATTTCCTGATCTGTAAGAACCTCTTTGAATTTATTTGCAGCATGAATATATATTCCGCATCTTTGGCAAAGAGAGCCACAAACAGATCACAGCAAATCTTGATTTGCTTCTCAGAAGATTCAATGAGGTGACAAATTTCTTTACGCTTTTCGCACGGTATTATGAGTGTATTTCTTCACTTGATTGCATTCTGATTGGCTTGAAGGTAAACTCCAGTTTGAGTGTCATTATGATTTCATCTTTTAGGTCCAGCTTTGGGTCGAAACACAGATTCTTCTCACTCAACATCTCAACAAGCGGGTTTATCTGTTGAAAAAGTTCATCAAGTTGGCCGCACAGTAAGTGATTCCTCAAGAAATTTTCAATTGAATGTCGAAGGTCATCTGAGATTGCGTTGATTTTTACTTTAATTCACCTTGTGATTGGTCGAGAAAATTAGCATTCCCTCCCAACCAATCAGATGCAAGACTAAAATCAACTGCGACTTGGTCACCCGAATTTTCCCGCGCTTCTGGTCGCTCGTTTTAACTTGGACTTATGATTGGGCCCTTGTGTAATTTTCCACACTTTGATTGGCTGTTTTGGTTACTTTAGTTTTTGTTTGACGACAGCCTATCGAAATAAATCTGATTCGTCAATAAAACTCGCTGTTATGACTTACTTTTTATCTATCGCCTTGCTTTTGTAGCTGTAAAGAGTACAACAATTGGTATTCGTTTTTCGCCGTTGTTATGGCATTAAACAGTGTTGCAGTCAGTCGCTTGTCTCAGACATGGGAGGTAAGTGGGAAATGGTTGCTTACGTGGGTTGCGTTCATTTTCTCGCGGAAAAAAATTTGACTTTTATGATTTTATTTGTAAATATGTTAAACGTTTAATATGTTTGAGCTCAAACATTGCAAGAAAAAGATATCATGAAATTAAGTCTTTGTCAACAATGGTCCCCTCTGGAAACATTTGTTGAATTATTTTTTTAAACTATACCTTCTTTTATTGTGTCGTCAGAAATTACCGAGCAAGTTTCGTAAAATATATGAAGAGTTTGAAGGTATCTTGGTAAGGACATTTCATTTCATTACTCCTTTATACAAATTTATTTTAACTTTATATGTTGAAAAAGCACCATTTATTAGTTGTGGGTCATTTAGTAGTCAAGTAAAACAATTAATTGCTTCAACCGTCAAAGCTGAGTATAACACATGAATATGTTTCTTTTAAAGGAGCCTTCTAGAAACCATCGAGTTTACAGGCTTTTAGCTGGTGAGTTTCTATTTAATTGTGCAACTTTTTACACTGCAACAGGGGGGGGGGGTTACATTGTGTCAGACAGAGGGTACTCACCAGATTGTCATGATGTCAAACTCCACGCCATGTTTTACTCAATGTGAAAAAAAGGCTTACAAAGGGGGTAGGGGGTTAACGTGCACCCCACTAGCTACGCGTTTAAATAGGCAAAGGTATAACGTTAAGTTTGCACTCAAGCTAAGTAGCCCATTCAGACGGAGCTTATCCCCGTCTCCGTAGCATGAAGCGGCGACAAGAAGTATTAATACTCCCCCCCCCCCCCATGGGATGCCAGTCCATTTCAGGTTACCCCCGCACATTTTGTCAAGTGTCCCTGACAATCCGCTAGTACCGATTTATACTCCTAAGTGAAGAGAGGGACTGTGAAAGTAAAGTGTTTTGCCTAAGCACTTAACACAGTGACCTGGCCAAGTCTGTTACCCAGACCTCCCGCGTTTAGCGTGCAAACCGCCAGGCCGCCTCGTTTCTCAATACAGTGAGGTGCTAAAATTTTATTCAATTATTTTGGTAGGAAAAATGAAGCCACCCATATTGCCTTTTATGCCTCTTCTGATAAAAGGTATGTTTGTTTACAAAGTTGAACTTTATTTCATTAACGTTCAGTTTTCTAGTTGTAAAAAAAGCTTCACTTTGCTCATTTGTTTGTCTGTTATGTACTTGAATACGTGATAGTCACAAATCGAATATTGAAAAAACAAAGTTAGGGATTTGTTTTTATTTCTAGACATGACGTTCACTAACGTAGGAAATAAAACGCAATTTGATGATCTGGTGAACTTTGAGAAAATGGTGAGCAGCTATTTTTGTTATTGCTTTTTTTTCCCTTTTCTTTTCTAGTCCATGGATGTGGGGTTAAATGTGTCGCATTATTCTTGTTGTCAAATCAACAAAAGATTCCACATTACCTGCGTCTGTTCCGTAAAACATCACCTGAGACGCAAAATAAGGTGAGAACAAAACAGAGGCACTCGAGGCGCAGCCGAGTGTGTCACTGATGTTCTTAGCACATTTTGACGTCTTTGAACAGACTCGTGGCAACCTGGAATCTATTTGTTTCAATTAATCAAGAAGTTACATGCACAGTTGTTCATGGGGACGTCATTTATGCGTCTATCCTTCAATAGATCATAAGTAAGAACCAATAAGATTACACGTAGAATTCAGCTTAGAATTTAAACGTAGATGTCAATTATTATTTTTATTTCAGAGAATGATCTCTTCTACTATTCGTCTTATCCAGTACTGTCGCAGCGAGCCGTTCAGTAAGTACACCTTGAATCGAGATAAGGGACTGATAAATGGGTCATGGGGGCACTAAACTGTGAAGCTCATCAGAAAGTAGGAAAGACGAATGATAAAAAATGAATGGACCAATCAGAGTGCATGACTCACAGACAAGATAGCTATGCAATTCGTCACGCTAAGAGTGTCACGCACTCCGTAGATTTCGCAGTATAGTTTGCCTCATTACTATTGACTATAACTAAATTTCGGTAATAGCAAATTGAATTTTAGTTTTGTGGCACTTATAGGGGAAACTTTCCTATGAACGACCAGGCCCGTGGTTCTGACTGACTTCACAAATAAATGTTGATGACGGCGGTCACACAAGGTCTGTTCGTGATCTTATTTCTCGCGAATTTATGAAATGATCATGTTTATTTTTCTTTACTTAGAGGCTGAACCTCCAACTCAAGTGAAAATAGCTCAGGAAATCACTATTTTTGTGAGGTATGATTGATGTGTCACATGATAAACTTTCCAGACAATGGAATAGATTTAAACCGCACGTGAAACACACAACCTTTTTTAAAAGCTCAAAGCCCAAAATCTTGTAGTCTTTAAACTCAAAAAAGTGTTAAGTTTTCCTTTTTCCTTCTTTTTTATCCTTTTACATCATATTTCGATTAACCTTTCGTTTGGATCCATTTTCGCATGCCCGACGTTGATCCCCGTGCCATTGAAATACAACAACTGCCAGGTCACTTTTTCGGCATGTGGCTATGTTATATGATTGACATAAAAGCCGACAAGAATTGTGATTTTTCTAGCGAAATGCAACTAGACCGATTTCCCCATTTTTTTCCAATCTCACGCGGTAATCCTCTCTTTCCACAGGAATTTCAACGTTATAGACAACGAGCGCATTCTTAACCAGTTCTCTCACAGATTGGAGCCCAAAAAAAACTAAGTAATCCTTGTTGATCATTTAACGATGCCTTCAACAAATTCCTCGGCCAATCAAGTTTGACAGCGGTATATGTGGACAGTGGTTCATCAGCTTGGTGACAACAATTCGATATAGTTTGTCCTTACGTGTCAACAGAGAGAGTAATGTGGCAAATTTCTGCAATTGACTGTATTTTCTGGTAAATTTCACATTTTCTTTTTAAACTCCTTTTTTTAAATATTGGCGTTAAGGGTCGCGTACAGATAATTCAAACACTGATAGATAAATTTCTGACGCCATTTCGAATTGAAAATGATTAGAACATTTTAAAAGTTTTATGATATTTTAACCTCAGAAATAAATAAATTTATTACTACTGTTAACAGGTGTTTATTTGTTATATGGCCTTATCAAGAAGTCCTTACCCTGGCAAAATAAACCGCGAATCGCCATTGGATTCCTCGATTACCAATGCGTGTTGTATAGATGCCAAATATCCCGGATTATCCGGGACTCTTCCGCATACACAAAGAACCATTTCGACTCTTAAACGACCGGCTTAATTTCCCTGATAGAAGTGACTTTAAACACTTCTTCTATAAACGAGGTGTCTTTTAGTAATTTTAATCTGTATTTAAATATTTGGGTTTTTCTGTTGAAGAATGGTTGTATTTTTTGTGATGTTTTTCTCAAGTGGATCCTGGCAGCGTCTTCGTTTTTTGCGCAGAAGCTGGAAGTGGAGGGGAGGAGGATTGGGGAGAGAGAGGACTGAACGAAAATATTTCCCCTTAGGCCCTTTGCAACATGAAGTTGAATTTATCATTAAAATTTTCCATGATTTACATCAATGATTTATAAATTACGGGGCACGTGCTAGCTAAAACAAAAAATTGGGTTTAAATCTCAGAAATTTCACTATGGAATCTTTATTGCTGGATCTCCTATACTCTTTACAAGTAAGTAACTCACCTGAACTACCATCAGTAGAGTCTTACTGCACCATACGTACACCTTCATTTTGGCATTTTTTGTTATTTCCATTACTAATGAATGGGTAAATTGTGAACATACAGTGTGGTGCCTTGAAAGATATAAATTATCTCACAGAAATAATTACATTACATTTTTGCACCCTTCTCGAATGGAACTATTCCAATTTAAAACGATATCTTTAATATCTGATATAAGAAAAATCAGAATGTAAAGCTCTCTGAGCTGAATATGTAGCCAGTAGCCTTAAATTTAGATAACTCAGTCTTTGACTCTTACTTTGCTACTCAACCGGGAGAACAAAGCAAGTGCGGTTTTACGGTAAACGTTATCTATCAATTATTAATTAAATACAAATGGAAAAACATTAAAATTCAGCTGAAAAATAAAATAGGTGAGGGAATTATTCAGGCACTGAAATTTTTAAGGGATATTTAGCAGTCTAACAAGCATCAACGAAACAAGGCTCGCAGAGGTAGGTGAATACAAAATTAAATAGAAGAGAAACGTGGTGATTGACTTGCCACATCTCACGTCAGGATTTCTTGGTTGCCTATTAAATTTGCGACAGGCGGGCCTCTAAAAGGATTTCGTAAAATTAATAGCAAATGTACATTTTATGTTTTCAAACGTAGAAAATTATGAAATTTATGAAAGAAACCGTCTGTCACGGATAGATATAGAATAGTACAACATTTGAATCAAAGGTGAGAATATGGTATTGCATGCCTAAATGTGAATAAAAGTATATTTTTTAAGCAAATGGACGCGAGGGAAACTGATTTTTCTGGGACTATGATGTAGTGAAAAACGTCCTGGAAAGTTACCGAATATGATAGAGACGTTCGAATGCTTAAACGGAAAGAGAAAAGGGGGTTTTAAAATTGCCATCTTTTAAGGCACGAGACAATTTTGAAAAAATACTGGTTAATTTTCAAATTTATTTAAATTAAAATGTTTAATTCTAAAAATATAAGTTAATCTTAACGAATGCTAATACTAGAGTACATGCGCAAATACTGTTTTTTGGAAAAGGCTTCGGTCTCACCCAGGCATGTCCAATCGTCTGCCTCCCAATGAAACACACAGTTAATTTCATTATTCGACTATCACAATGGGAGAAAAGCACAGGAGAATATTTTATCGAGCTGATTTTCCAGACAAGACTCAAATTTTTGATCCCGATCAAAGTACTGTACTCCTTTGTCTAACGGCTCTGTTAGAGAATCATGAAGCTATGCCTTATGGAATAAAATCGTTTTTTCATTTCCTCAATTTATAAGTACCGCAGCCATGACTCACACGATCTACATGGGGTTCCTGTGCATCTCTTTAGTGTTGGTAATACTGTGCGAAGCTTCTGCCAAAAAAGGCATCCGTGAAGAAACACAAAAGGAGAAAAAAGTACATTTGAAGGACATATTTAGTGGCAGGATGAAAAGGTATGAAAATACTGTGGAGTCGAGTTTTAAAGATAATCAAAAGAGTAAATATAAGTAATAAAGATCAATTTAAAAAAATCAAATAAACCTTATAATAATAATAGTGCGAACATGGCAAGACCCTGCGTTGCTTTTTCTAACCCGAGTTGAATCCCCACAATGGGTCTGAATCCTTTTGCAGTCAAATAGGCCGGTCACAACCCCCTTCCCCCACCCCCAGAAGAATTTAAGATCTGCAAAATGACGATGAAATAATTATGTTCGTTGTTCTTTCAGACAGTTAGAAGAGCTTTGTCAACAGTCACCTGCAGGTTGTATCATGCAGTCTGAATTTTCCGAGGATAGTACGCAAAATGGAAAGAGAAAGAGAAAGAAGAGCAAGAAGGAAAGAAAACATGGAAGCAGAGGGAGAAAAAACAAAAGGAAGATGTCAACTTCGAGCGAAATAAACCAAGAGACGGATGAAACCTGTCCTTATGTGGATCCACCGACAGACGATGAAGATTATGAAGAGGACGACGGCAGCGAGTGTCTGAAAACTCAACAAATAATTGGCGATTAAAACGATGAAATGTTTTTTCATCCTAAGATCAAAATTTTATTAATTTTCATTAATTTGTGATCAATTATTTTCAATTAAATGTCACCTTTAATCCAGAATTGACTTGGTTTTGTTCCTATTCCCTCTGTGACTAATCGAAAAAACTTGCGTGCCCTCCCTCACAGACTGAAAGAAGGCCCGTAGCATTGGCGTTGCAGGATACACGCTTCTCCTCCCGCGGAAAGATTTGTGAAGACGCGTCAGGGGAGAGGTTTTCTGGGAGTCTGGCCTTTTCGGAGCTAAATCATTTGCAGACCTCTCGCCTCCTTGCGTTACTCATAACTTCACTTGGGTGAAGAAACGCTCTTGTCAAAGCACTTATGATATATATACGGGCTTGCTCAATATTTGTTATCTTTACGGACTGCCAGCCCACAAGAAACCTTAGTCCATGGTCAGCGGCTTATCAAAACACAGTTTTAAAAATATGTCCCCGTTGCTTGGTAACCGTTTGCGAAACGAGAAGAGCAAGATGGCGGCTGCCACTGCGCGGCAAATTCCAGTCGTCAATAACGTGATAACCGATGAAGACTTGGACAATTTTCGCACCGAGGGAAAGGTAAGTACGTTAGAGATGTAAAAAGATCGGAAAAGTTTGGAAACAGTGCAATATATGTTATTATTTTTGCAGCATTCTGGCCGACTTGTTCCAGTCAGTGTCATCAAAACACACAAACTTCTTACAGACAAGCACTCGGTGAGTCCTCGTGCACTTCTTTAGTCCTTTAGAGATGTTTACGTGTCAACTGCTTCGCTCTTCATGACTTTAAATCGCTAAAATTTTCGTGTAATTAAAGGAACTCTCGTACAAGATAACAATGTTTAAGCTAATCTTTATCAGCTGTGTACGGTGAATTCAGTGTAACTGCATTTGATTTTAGAGAGAACTGGTCGATCGCCATGTGAGAGCCATCCATCGTCTCACCAAATACTACTGTCATGGATTTGTATCCTTCATTGCAAAATAAGTGAACGAGTTACTTGCACATTGGAAAATTTCTCACCGTGATTAACTGCTATTAACCATTATCAAGTCCATGACATACAATCTTCATGTCAGTGCGCTTTGCACAAAAGTATTATGTATGATGTGTTCAGTTTCATACTTTTCAGATTTAACTTGGGTGTTCTAATGTGTGATATGATTCAGTTTCAAAATACATTTAGAGAGAGTTTGAAAAGGTTAAAATTGGATGACGCTGTGGATGAATGCAGATCTCTATTCCAGCCCCTTACTCAAGACTGACTTTTAAAATTGTGTACAGCATTAACAACAAGAGTTATTTATAAAACCCTTTAATGTGTGTCTCTGAAATGCATATAGACTGCACTTAGCAGAAACTCATACTCTATTGAAGACTTCCAGTTGTGAAAGACATCCTGGTCAAGATGGGAAAAATTGAAAATGTATTTCCTGTTTGAGATTCAGGAGCCTGAAAAGAGGGTAGCCAAAGGGGAGGGGGGGGGGGGTTTGGGGGTGGAATTTGAGGAGGAGTCCTGATTCTGTTTCAGATTCTGTTTCTGTTTCTGTTACACTTCCCCCCCCCCTTGCCTTTCTGTAAGATTCACGCTTCATGCATTACTTTCAGGCTTAATCAAGCATCATGTACAAGCCCTTTTCTACCCTCTGAAAACCATGTCCTGTTTTGGTGCCACACTCCCCCTTCCCTCCTCCCCTCCCTTCCCTTACCCCTCCCCCCACACCCATCTTCATTTTCAGATAGTTCCCCTAAAGCTTGTAGAGATATGAAACCCTTGGTTTTCAAAAGAGACAATAACAACAGTAAAGTCATTCTGATAATAGACTCGCACTTGGAACATGGGCCAATTTTCAAATGTTAATATTACCTCCTCATTCATGCACAAGATGACTTGTGGTTATTGAACTTAACATTATCCAACAACAGCTTATGAAAGATGTTGAGTTGGTGTGTGATATGCTCACAGTTTGTAGAGAAAGACTGGAGACAAACCTTCAATATGAGAAACCTCTATGTGACTTGATTAAAGTCTGTGGGTGAGTAATTGACTACTTACTTTGAGTTCTACAAATTGTCATGACTAAGAACACAACACAATGAACCCAGCTGAGCTCAACCCAAGACCTCTTGATCAGAAATCCATTCTGGTAACCACTTGGTCAATACATATCTTTTGTATCGACCAACTTTCATGGGGTCTTCCACTTTAATGCTATCGCTGACAAGTCGTATTCCTGTCCAGTCTTCTTTCCTAAATTTTGCGTCGTTGTAGGAGAAGAGTGCTGGACCCTACGACGAAAACCATGAAGAGAGATAAAGACTCAAACTTGGTAGTGATTTAGATACAAAGAATCGGGAGCCTCTTGGTTGGTACAGAGGGTTCCTGGTCGAACGGTTTTGGTTTCTAGACCCGAGAAAGTATATATGTTGACTTCTCTGACAAAACGCTTATGATAACTTTCTCCACTTCGGAATCTAAATGGGGGCAGGCAATATTCCTGGTTGCTACCGCAGGATCCAAAATTGCATAGTACTCCCTCCATTGTTATAAAAGTTAATGACTGGTCAGCTATTAGTTCTTTAATGTTTATTGATGAAGGATTTTTTTTTTACATCTTTATCAATTTGCAGCAAGCCATTTTTGAAGGAAAGATCTTCAGATGACTCTTCACATGCTAGTGCTATTATTAACCTTCTCACTGAGCTAGGTATGAATATAACATTTTTATGAAAGTACAGTGTAAGCGAGATGTTTACAACAAAAAGTAATGGTTAGGTCTGCTATTGCTCACCTTTCTAAAAGTCTCTACGTAGAGATTTTGTTGGAAAGTAGCTATTGCAAATAAAGACTTTGTAATAGATTATGGAAATTATTTTCACTTTGAGGTACAAACAGCTGAAAGGCAGTAAGTTGCTGTTTTCCATTTGCTGCAAAGATCATGCTTACTCTCTGTTACTCTTCTGATTGCTCTAGAATTTAAATATGGAATTCAAAAAAATTCTTGATTTAATCCTGTTTGATTTCAGGGCACACAATGAAAATAAACAATGTTACTGCTCAGCTTCAGTTAGGAGAATCATTGTTAAGGTTTTACACTGACCAGTCATTAGAGAACCAAAGTTTTGAAGGTAAAATTTTACATCTACCTCATTTTTTTTAAATATGCTATTTAACAAATAGATTCTATGCTGTTATGCTTCTCTTTGGTCATATATTGCAGCTGATGATGCCAAAATCTGTCTCTGATGAGGTTATCACATTTTGAAAACATACATGTTTGGTCTCCTTAATTTATTATTATACATTTTTTGTATTATATGTGAGTAATTAATCATTTTCAAGGTTAATGAATCTGCAAATGTTTTACAACTGTTTCTGAACGATAGGCTACCAAGCATCATCACTGTCTTACAACATAACTTTGGTGGAAAGAAGTGGAGTGGCCAGAGCACTTGTTGAGGTCAGATGCCTTTCATTTGTCTTTACTTTGTCAATGAAAATCATGTATCATTTGAAACTGTTCTCAAAGTCCTAGTAAGGGCTGCAGAAATATTTTGATAACATTTTGTTGCATTCTCAGAGTTTGGAGCAAGTTGAGGACCTGAATGCGAGACTTGAAATCATGAAAGTGCTGCAGTGTTATTCAACTTCAGGTATTATTTTAATTATATTATTGTTGTATTGTTCAACAAAAACCAGTTATGGAGGGCTGTTTATTACTGCCTTTAACCCTTTAACCCTTTTGCTCCCAAGATCTAATTAGTAATTCTCCTTACTATCTGCCATACAATTCTTATGATGTTAGTTCAGAGAATTTAGTATTGGATCAACTAATAATCCCATAATTCATATTCTTCTCTATTCTCATCACCTGCCTGCTTGATATTGTATTGACATTGTAAGGAGAAATTCTGTCTTGGTCATTTATGGGAGTGAAAGGGTTAAATCCCAATGTCTGATTGTTAATTCTTTCCTCTAGCTGCTGCAGACTTCCTTGTAAATTAGTTAAAAGAATTTTGGTGTTAGATCAAGACACCAACGTCTATTGATAAGTTTGAGTATTCTCATTACCTGTTAGCTGGATAATGTATGGTTATAATAGCAAGAAGTTACATGTTAATCAGTTGTTGGAGTTAATGGTTAAGCCTGCTTCCCACCATCTGTTTAACCAGTGAGAAGGCTCTGGTGTTTGGATTTTGACTGACTTCTACTATTTGGGCACAGCTGTCTGTTACACCACTGGCAGCTTTTGATGGAAAAAAGTCATCAAAATGCAGGATGTTAAGTTATTAGTGGGAGTTGCTTCCCCAGAACTACACGAGTAACAAATCACTTTTGTAGAACCTGATTACTTTGTTGTTGTTGTTTTTGTTCCATTTGGCTCTTTTAACCCCAGATTTTGGGATGGCAGCCCACTATAATATTGTTGAAGAATTTAAATGACTATTTTTAGAATAAATGAGTTATCTCTCAGAAGTGGGGCATTATGTAGTGTAAATGAGATCATTCCTCCTTTTGTTTACAGCATTGAATTGTGATGATATGCTGTCAGTTGGTGCAGCTGGTTTGTTGTGCAGTGGAATCAATATCCCAGATCCATCTGATAGGTAATATGACCATTTTTTCTTAGAAACAGTTGTTAATAAATGTTGTTTGGTTAGTTCCCTTTGTTTTAACCCTGTGAACAAAATTATTTTTACAAAAAAAATATTTTAGCTGATGCATTGTTTTCTGTTGTCACAGGGTTGTTTTCCGAACTGTTGAAATTCTCTGGAATTTGCTAGAATTTGGTTCTAAACAGGAGGTAAGTTTATAAGTTACTTAAAGCACAATTGGGCACAAAGTAAAAAATTTCAAGTCCTATAGGGCATGTTCTTAGTTCATGTAGCTACATTCTTTTCAGGCATCAAAGTTCCCATATTATTCCAGCCTGTTATATTCACACAACTTCCCCTTTCCTCAAAAGAAGTTAGGTTAGATTTAGTGATGGTATGATAATG